GTACGCGTAATTGAATTTGAAATTTTTAGCTCACACATGCACAGAGAATATTCCTGCAAAGTTTCAGTTTTTATGCGTTTTTGCTGTGCAGCGCTGTAGCGCTGCTACAGCCAGCAAAAACACATATTGTAGAGAGGCTGTGTGTGTGTGTGTGTGCTCGGAAAGCGAGTGCATTTTGTCATCCACTTTCAACTCGGCAACCAGGAAAACTGGGGGCTGAAACTTCGGATATATGTTCCTACTCCGTGTGTCATCCTCCCATTTTAAGATCTTCCCCCATAAGCGCCTAAACTCCGCGCACGAGACCCCCAAAGAAATTTGCTGGCGAGAAACGATTTTGCGAACCAGGCGATGTAGAAGGCTGAAACTTTGCAAGCATATTCTCTATGCACATGCGAGATAAAAATTTTAAATTCAGCCCTCCGCTCCCCAACCTCAGCCTCAGGCAGCTCCTGAACCCAAAGCAACTCGGACCTGAACCGCAACTGTATATGCAAATGAACATGGAATTTTTAGAAAACGACCGTTCAATCAATGCTTTCAATTTTTTAATGAACTGAAAATTTGCATATTTTCAAAAATTGGTTCGCGGCTCAAACCTGAACCGCAATCGTAACGTGAACCTGCTGTATGGCATATCCCCCACGCAGCCTCAAATCCAGTCATACTAAAATGAAAACAAAAGAGATGCACGCACTGCCCCTCCACAGAAACATAACAAGCAAAACAGGGAAACGAGCACACGTGGAACTGACGGCGCGTGCAGTTCCTCGAAAGCACATGAGACCGCGACTGGGTCGCTGCGCAACTGAACATCGAACGGCGGCAATTCAAATGGTTGCTGTGTCAATTAGCGACGAACCCGAATGTCGGCGCTTGATTGCAGCCGTGGTCCATACAGCTCAGCGAGAATCCATATTTCTTTCCCGATTAAAGATCCCTCCCACACTGGAACTATACGAAAACTAGGAATATAGTCGAAACACACTGCTCAGCTGGTAAGTTTTCGCCCATGTATCCTGAAGTTTTAACGAAACATAAAATCCTGTACTTACGGCAAGCATGATCTTCGCAAAGATCATGCTTGATGGGCCGATAATTCATCGATTCGCACAAATGATTAAACCCCGTCTTCAGCCGAATGGTGACATAATGTGGAATCCCCTTCATTCTTTCCCATTCCCCGCTCCCCCGCTCGCTGAGACCATGAGAGACGGCACTTCAAAGTTTGATGCAAAAACGCAAGATCGCACCGGCTCGCCTGGTGCGTTCCAGCCTGGGTTTATATTGTCTGAATTACGAAATCATTTCCTGCCAAAGAAATATACATATCTTTTTCGATCCATGCGCAAGATCTAGATACGTATGAGCGAAGATTTTAAAACATACAGAGTGGGGAAATGCCCCCGAAAAGTAACACACAGGGTGGGGAAATGCCCCCGAAATTTCAGACACCCAGCTTTCTTGATTGCTGAGTTGAACGTCAGTCACAAAAATTCATTCGATTCCGAGCACACACACACACACACACACACACACACACACACAGACTACTCCTCGACAATATGCGCTTTTGCTCACTGTTGCAGCGCTGTGGCGCTGCACAGCAAAAACGCATAAAAACGCATTTCAGATCAGATGGCCCACTTGAATAATTGGTACTGACATGCTTTCTCCTTTTATTTTTGAACAAATATTTTACCTTCTTTTTCTGTAGAGCCTAGAGCCAGGGCGTAAAGGCTTGTGGGAGTGCAGGAGTCTCTCGGAAACACCATTAACATAAAATCCCTGCACCTATTGTCCGGGCAGTCCTGATGCACTCTACTGTTTCTTTTTATTCAGTTTTTACTAGTTTCCTTTCCTTTCATCTTTACCATTTTTTATTTGAAATTTTAGCCTTTGGCATTTTTTTCTAAACAGAATAAAGTGTGAATTTTTGTAAGTACTTAAGCTGCGGAAAAATGCCCGAAAAAATAAACTAATGGCTTGCTACATAATGCCAAAAAAAGGTGTCCTACGGTGCGTTTCAGTATGAAGCTAGTTTTGGCTTAGGAACGTGACGAATGTTAAGGACGTCTGCTCGGCCTGATGTTTATTTGCCCCTTGATACTTGCATATTATTCATAGATAAGTAAGCGAAGGGTACACATGCTCATGTACTGAAAATACTAGCGAGCTGCTTGTGTGTTTCTGCGCGTATGTGTGTTCGGTATGCATTTGGCGAAAACCTGTTTTAGGAGGTGTTACGCAATGGTGAAATTGATTC